ACTATCTAGTAGTTTACCAGCAAATCTGATCTTTCTCTTGTCTGATCATCAACCACTTTTATTAAGTCATACGAGTTACTTATAGAAAACTTCAAACTCTGATATTTGCTTTAACTGAGTACAAATAAAACGTGATGTCTTATGTATCACGTTACCGCTATTATTTAAAATAATTATAAGTGGAGTACCTTTATTATACATTTTGGGCAGGCCATATGCGTTTGGTAGTCTAGCATCTCTCTCTCACTCTCCAATTTTCAATTTCTCCGCTGTTTACACATTGTTGCTGACTATTTTCGGGTTTAACATATTCAGTCATATCCATAACTATGCTGCTCCTCTGTCCGCCCTCAATACCAATTCGTAATTTGCCCTGAAATACCTTATAATAGTATCAACTGTCCTATTCTACATTGCCATCAATTAAAGGGACAACAGGTAATTCACTGTCACTCCTCGTATCCTCTGGGAAGCTATCTGCTAAACTTATCGAATATACTAAGATTTTTCCCTTGAAGTCCTTACCATTTGGATAGGCAATGTTCAAGCCCTTTATAGAACCTCACCCGTAAAAATGTCCAATGAGATTATGGACAGATTTGCTACTTTTTGGCAACGACTTTCCCTCCTTTTCACTTCATTAGATATAGGACGATTATCTTATACCAGAATTTCTTAATCTCTTATCATGTTTCCTTCTAACCTGTCGAAAACCTTTGTCATGCCCCCTATCCTTTGGGGCCTAAGTAAACCGTCCGAACTAAAATCCTCGGGCAAGATTTGCCTGTGTCTGGTCTTATTTCTAATTGATGAGCGCAGCTTTGCTATGTTTTTCTTAAGTCAAAGACGTCTGCCCCAGTACAAACGATAGCTTAGCACACGTTCATCGGTTTCGCAAGACGGTGATTCATTGACTTCGCAAGATCCAACAGTCTTCACTCGCGGCAATTCTTCAGTTTCAGGTGAGACCATTTAGCAAATTCCTTCCGATCAACTTTTTCTTCGAAATGGAAATTAATGTCACATTCCATATTCCCTTCACTGCTTGTGAATTCTGGCATTTTTTCACCTCAATGTATGATAGCTGATATTTGAGATACTATAAAATGAGTTTAGATTTCTATCTATAACAGCATTATTGTTTTGTGAACCACAATATTTAATAGATCGCTTTTGAGGGCTTTCATTCTCTGTCATTTTGTCTCCAACTGAGGAGCATGACAATTCATGTCATGTTCTTCACCCTAGTCCCGTACATTTATAAGCTCAGTACCAGATTACAGTGCAGCTCTTTCTACTTGTTTCACTCTCTCGTTCCATCTAGGGGCATTTAGCCCGGATTATAGCATTTTAATCTGACGCATGAATGTTATTTCCAAAAAAAGTGACAACAGAGAGCGGTAGATCTATGATTTTATCTTATCATATTTCAGTTGTTAGCTCACATCCTCTGGGAAAATGAGAGAGGCATAGCCTTATTGCCACAAGTAGTGCAATAAATAAACGACCAAATGCCTTCAGATTCATACTTAAGTCTTGTTGATGTCGTTAGAAGCCGAAATGTGGTTGACGAGCCGTTTTATCGTTGTATTCCTCGCTAGTCTGACAATCAGCCATCTATTCATCATAGTTGTTTGCTGCTGTGGACCCAATTCTAGCCAGATTATTTCACTTACATGCTCGACAAACCTTAATTTTTATACATCATCCCTCATACGGAGTTTATATACATCTCAGAGGTCGTGCTTCCCCGTTTGTATTAATATAAAGTCAATCGTGCCAGCCACATTTGTACATTTTAACGTGGACTCTGTTTTATCTTCTCATCTCCGATCGTACCTATTTGGTTCACATAAAGGCTTCTTCGCTCTTTATCCATGGTCATCTTGGTCGATATCACAGCAAGCTACACTCAGCATATTATCATACAGACCGGTATACTTTTGGATTTATGTACATGCTACTAATTAATTCTTTCTCTTGCATGTGAAGAATCCATGCTAGGCACTGTAATTTATCTCCATCCTTTATTTACACATGCGTATCCAAATCTGCCCCTTCTCTCTCTTCCACACACATATGGACGCACGCAGATGCACAACTAAATGCTCCAGTTGTCAGTCTTCAATTACCTCCTACTTCTGTCACCGATTCCTCTCTCGTACTGGGCGCTTTTAATTGGCCAATTTCTGCTCCCCACCCAAGGCAAGCCACATCACCTTTGGTTGAGCCCACTCGAGATGGAGGCAAAGGCGAACCAGAACCTTCTTGTCTGCATAAAAACCACTATCGTCATGGCATCGACCCTCACTACGACCACCGCCGGCATCACCACCGAAAGCGTAGACACATCCACAATCATACATACCACATAAACCTTGGTAATTACCCATGTCCCGATTCCCGTCCTGCCCCTGTCACTCACCCTATCGCTGACCTTGACAATGATCATCAACGCGACCACGATCATCACGCCCAGCTGATTAAATCGCGCCACAATCAGAATCACAACCATCACCACCACCATCAGCATCACCACAATCATTATCAAAAACAACGACTAGATCAACCACGACAACTTCAGGAAGAATTTTCGGGGCATAAAACTGGTCGTTCATGCAGTCGCTTGACGGAGGGTTCTTTAGAGGCGAGCCATCCAATGGGACCAGATATCAAACAGACTCAAGATGTTACTAATAGCCCGGACATTTCAGCGCCAATCAAATACCCGGAGGTCACATCAAAGCGCCGTTACAGCTCTGCAAGTGGGTCACTTATCTATAGTAGCTTATTTCTTATTAGCCGACTGCAATTTTTTGTCCACAGGATTTGTTGATATATTTTGCTTTTTCGATTCCAATTTACATAGCCGAACGGTTCCTTTTCAGTATTTATTTTATTTCGTGATTTGGATCACCTAATATTGGCTTAATAAAATTCAATAGTATTGCAAAACCTGCTCGTTTCATCGTGAGAAATCCCACCATCGGTGCTTATATCACTTTAAGCGATATAGAGAATGAAGTTTTTATCCAAGCTCTACGATAGTCTCGAAGCCTACTCACATAAAAATAGTTTATATTCCTGTGCTTCTGAGTAGTTTATAGTGTTTACAACATAATCTAAACGATTGTCTTAGCCTAGTTTTAGCTTTGTTCAAAGAACTCTTTATATGTTTTGTCTTACATGGTTTTGACTAAACCATGAGGTAGAAATTTCACTCACCCTTGATTCCATTCAGACATATCCAATTGCTTAGTATTGGGATGCATTTTGATAACTCGTAATCAACTACTCCTGTTTGTAAAACACTTGTGCTTGATTTGCTTGACTATTGACTATTAGGCTTTATTGTAATTGTATCGATAATGTTTGCAACCCACTATTCATTGCAATTAAGCCAGCCTCTTGTCG